GCTTTAAGTGCTGACTTGTTGCAGGGGTTTACCAATGTCAACCTCATTGTTGAGAAGTCAAGGTTGACAAATGCTTTCCGCAAATAGTCTTTTTAGCAAAGATTCAACACTCGGCTGGCTTTTGAGTCTACCGACGATTCGGGAGATAAAGCCATCCATTAAGATTGTCAGGAACCTGGGGGAACAATGTAATTATACGACATTCACAATTCTAGTCCTTCTGCAACTCCCTTGCATCCCTCGCAATACAACATCCTCACAACAAGTTTCGGGGGACTCGGCATTTCCACCACTAGCTCTTACTGGTAGGTGTAATGATTGAGTTGTTTTGAGTTTTGGGTTCACTGGCGAAAAGATTGAACACCTCCCCACATCCTGATGCCTCGAAACACAAACAAGCCTTATAAAGTCTGGAAAGCATAAGCCCATGACGCCACCCAGCCGCAACCCTCACATAAACCTCCCTCAAGCCCCCTGATCCTCCCGAAGCCCCCACTGCAAACCTAAACCTTGTAAACCCTACATCCCAAAACCAAGAATCTAAACCTTGGAACCCTCCGCCCAAAACCCTGAACCCCACAAAGCCTGGCCCCCGCCCACCATCCAGGATCCCTAAACCCTCAACCCTAAACCCTAAACCCTATCTTCTAAACGCCTCCGGGGCCCAATCCGCCGACTCGGCGGTGGCCGCGGCCACCAGCGCCGCCAAGGTAGCGGTGCCTGGCGGCCAGGGGACAGGGGTTTAGGGTTTAGGAGTATAGGGTTTAGGCTTGTCCTTTCATGCACATACAGATTTAGGGTTTAGGGTTTAAGGTCTAGGGTTTGGGGTTTAGGGTTTAGGGTATAGGGTTTAGGGAGTGCGGGGGCCGGGGGCTGGGGGGAGGTTGCGCCTGGGCCTCCCCGAGGGGTCGAAAAAAAGATGCCGGGGGTTAAAAAAGAAGGGGGTTCCCCATCTCTATTTAGGGTTATAGGGGGTTTACATATAGGGTTTAGGATTTAGGATTTAGGGTTTAAGGTTCAGCATTTAGGGTTTGGGGTTTAAGGAGGGTTGGCAGGGATTACTATGGGGTCACGTAGGGTTATCTAGGGATTGCGTAGGGAACGAAGGAATGAATAAGAAACTGCAAAACAACAGGGTTTCTCGGGGTAGCCTGAATAAGTTTTTGTAGCTTCCCAGAATGAAAACAGTAGTGGAAGCGAGGTCTACATAGTAGCACTGTAAAACCGAAGGAAACCAAAGTGAAACACGAGATGGACACTAAGACGTCATTGTGGGTTTAGGGTGTAGGAACCGAAAAGCACCTGAAACATCAGATAAAAACCAATGGTACATCAAACATAACCTGGACGCTGATAGGGCTGCACGGGGATTAAATGATTAGGGTCTAGGCAGGATTTGGGGCCTTAGGATTTAGTGAGTGTTTTAAGTGTTGGGGGCTTACTAGTGATCAGTGGTAAGGAATGGACCAGAAGGCTTAGTGTTGGAGCGGTTCAGTTTTTTCATGTTTTTTCAGTCTGGGCTGGGGTCTTGGCGTCTGGGAGTTTAGGGTGCAGAGCGCCCAGGCGTTAGCATTTAATGGACTTCAGGCTATGCAATTTGCTGTCAAGGGCTTGAGGCCCTAAACCCTAAACCCCTAAACCTTGGAATCCAAAAGAAGCTTCTCCTCACAGCCAACATTGGCGCGATGTAGCAAACCTGGAAGTAGTATTGGGGTTATATTGGGGTTAATTAGTATTGGGGATAATATTGGGATAATGGAAAATAAAATGGAAGCTACTATTTAGGGTTTAGGGTTTATATCTACCACTTTCAATTCTGAGCTCGCTGCGCATCGTAAAGTGTCCACACAAGTCCTTGGATGGGCTTTATTCCGGGTGTAGGACCCAAGATTGCTAGGACAAACCTTTCTGCGTATTTAGCAGGAACCTCCGTGCAACGTCCAGATACTACCTGCATGCACAGGCTCTGCTATTACTATTGATCTCGGTAGCACGGGAAACAGGATAGGTGCGTGGCTCAATCTTCCAAAGCTGACCCCCCAAGAAAATACGGCATACTTGTGGCTCAAGGTATCCATGTGGGATCAAATTTTATGGCTATTATTGGCGGTTTAAGGCCATTATTTTACATACTTTTGGGGCTTAGGTAGTGGGTACTGGCAGCTTATAAACGCCTAGGCCTCCCTTTGGACATCTTGGGGCCAGAGATGCTGTGGACAGGTAGAAACGAGACGAACCTACATTGCCTCACACCTCTTTCCCTAAGTTATATTCGACACTAGGGTTGTAGCCATGTCCCAGTAGTTCACGTCATTACTAGGATTTTAAGTTTACTAATTGGATTTAGAATTCCCGCTGCTGGAAGTCTGGGTCCGGGAGATTTGTTTTGCGGCATCGAGCTACTGACGAGAACATCCAGGGCATGTGCAAGCCCATGTCCAACCTACATACCTACTGTATTGCTGGTAATGACCCAAAACAACCTGGACATTGGTCAGTGTGAGAGTTAGTATTTCCAGGCCACACAGGGCTTTAAGTTTTCTCGTTTTCGTCACGCTACAATAAGCATGTCAAGGATTCGAATCCATTAAGGCCATGACCAGGGTGCGGGCATGCCCCAGGCAGCTTCAGATTTGGTAGTACCTCCCTGAACACGGTATGTTAGTACCCAACAACCCACCCGCAATCAAGTGCCCCCCTCTAAAGGTAAGGGGTTCCAGGACGCTACAGCAAGCATTAACGCCGGAGATTGGTTATAGTCCCCTTTAAGTAGATAGATTATGAGGTATATGGGGATCTGCTTATAATATACCCAAAGCCATATCCTATCTACTTAAAGGGGACGATAGGTCCACATAGGCCTTGAGACCATCAAGTTCGGCACACCCCCGTTGACATCACTCCAACTCTTCTCATTGACACTAAAACCCTCAGCCCCACAACAGACATGGGTTTAGGGTTTAGGGGTTTCAAAGAATATCGCCCATGAGAAAAAGGGCTCAGGTGATGATAGCACTCTTCAAATCCCAAATCCCAAATACATCCAAATACAAAGTGTCCAAGTAGCTCAGGTTGTCAAGCTTCTCTAAGGGGTTCAGTTGACCTCGCTTTCAGAGACTCTGGCGTGACTAAGGGCTTCGGGGACTCACTTTCAAGGGGCTACTACTGGGATACTCCAGGGCAGTACCTGGAGGAGAGTACACAGAAAACTATTGAAGCATCCGCTTGTGACGGTTCCCACCAGCCCCATCAGTACATCGCGGAGGGAGCATGTAGCTGCTGGCTGAGCTCGAAGATGTAGTTTCTCTAGGGGCCATCAGCCATGTACATGCTAAAAACAACTCGACAGTCTCAGGACTTGGTTCTACAAAGCTTTGAGCATGAATCCACCACACTAGCAGGATTTTTCTGCACATCTCAAAGCGTCTCTGACTTGCAAGTTTGGGGTTCTCACAAGTCTGAGTGTTGCTTGGCCATTTTGCAAAGGTACGGGGGGGTTAACAGGGCTGCGCATTTGATTACCGTCAAAACCCCTGTAAAACGAGCCATCTGGTTTTAGATTTAAAGCTCAGTCCTTGGGACACCGATTTTCAGGAATTCCTCAGGCACATTTGGTTTCCTAGGCACTTTACAGGAATTTTACCTTCAGGAGTAATCGGCCACTGCTTGGATCGCTGGAGGAAGCGCTGGCAGATCCGCAGTCGAGAACCATAAAAAACGCTGGAGTACTGGCACCATGTGCAAGACCAATACCGTTTCCTACCTTGCGAGGCCTTTGAAAGCCTAAAGCCTACAACATTTCTAGGGCATCCTAAGCATAAGCGGCAACACAAGCGTAGACCTAGCGACATGACAGGACTGAGGCGACTGCGGACATGAAGATACGGTGGCGTGCAGCTCCGCAAGTCTATGTCGGAGCTGAAATAGCTGCGGCCAAGCCCTGCATCTGGAATACAAAGAGCACCACCAAAAGCACAAGCAGCAACGGCGCACAGCCACCGCCACCGCCTCCTCCGCTGCCACCACCACCACCCCGACAGCAAGGGAAAGAAAAACAGTGACATTTCCTTGAGCAGCAAAAAACATCACAGCTCTGAGTACAACAAGAGCCTGACAACCCTGACCACACGCCCTTGGACCCTGAAGCGTACGCCTTGACAGCCTTCATGCTAAACCCCAAAAAACCCTTACACTGTGCCAGGCGAAGCATCTGCATGCTGTGTCAGCCGAGACATGTGCGAGGAATGCTTAGAGCTCCGGTTTGATGCCCAATTTCCTCTTGAAGGACCATATATGGACATAAAGGGACACTTCCCCAATAAAAAAGAAGCACATGGAAAAAGCAATGGAGAAGGAAATGAAAGCTGAAAAAATGTGTAGGGGTGTATAGGGTTGCTACCCAGCATTCGGCCTGACCCTAAGTACGGTATAGCCCAGTATACAAAGGCATGGACAAAAGCTTACCTGCTCCTGCAGTACATACCTGAGCCCCAGAAATTGTCCTAGTTTAGTGTACTAAGGTCGCCCAGAGAAAGTCGGTATGCCCGGTATCTCTCCTCCTGCCAGTTCCAGGTGAAGTGGAGAGAGCCGTCATTTCGCCTAAGCTTCCAGCGTCGGAGGTGCTGATGTAACGAAATGAAGCATGGCTGAACTTTATAGTGATACTCGCAAATGACTATAAGTTCTGGCTATGACGTTAGAGTCTCGATACCTGACCTTGGCCATCCTGCATTCACCATGCTAAGTCTGTTCAAGAACAGTAATAGGGAGCATGACCAGCTGGTATCGCGGTAAGTTCACGTAGGGAACGTTAGCTGAGACGTGAGTTGTTCAGACATCTGCTGTGGCTCGAGGTTTAGATTTGCCATTAGGTTGTCCTTGACGGGTGGGGAAACTCAAGCCAAGATGAATCGTCGACTTGAAGCGCCTGCAGAAAACATGACAAAAAGCTCGAACTTGCAACATTGGGCTTAATATTCGGCTATCCATCGACCGGCGGCGAGACTTTGATGCAGCGACCATCGCTGGTGCTGCGGAACCTCAAGGTTCTAGCGTTTTTCCATTCAGGGCTTCAGGTTTACGCCAGACATCTGGGCTTTCGCTCGCAAGCCAGCACGTGCTGGTTCCGTAAACCCCAGTCTTCCTGAAGCCTTTCAAAAACAAGTCTAAATGCTTTAACGAGGCAATGGCTCCTCATCTGGGAAAAAATGTTCTGAAAAGGCTACATGGGCAAGATGGAAGGGCGGCCGCAGAGATATGCAGGGATTATAAGGGAATGCTAGGGTCTTCACACTTATGCTTGCTTTTTTAATGATGATGTTGGCAAATTCGTACATCTGCGTGCCAAGAAGTAAAGATTGGGAAGCTATCAGGTATCATGCATGACCGGTTTTGTGTATTGCTACTCAGGTCACTTGTCTGGCTGAAAACGCGCAAATTCTTACAGTAGTGACACCAAGATTGGAAGACAAAGTCTCGATCTTGAGGTACAGAAACTCGGAAAGTGGACTTGCTGCTCAACCTCTACCATTGGAGCAAGCCCCTGCACAAACCGAAGAGGTAGGACGAAATAGGTCGCAGCCCCCTACACCCTAAACCACTCCTAGTCGAAGGGATGAACATGCGATTCAGCTGTTTCCACTTTGGAGGTTGGACAAAAAAGGGAGGGTAGTCAACATGATGGCGCAATACTGTTCCAGGGACCACACTTTTGACAACCCTTAACATGACAAAGAACTGGCTCCTCACCGCGCAACACGCTGCGTCTGATGCGGGGGATCCAGCTTAGTTTGCATATGCGAGCGTCTCATGAATGGGGTTGTGCATCCACCTGTACATAAGAAGACTCTCATCATGAGTACCAGTACCGTCTGAAGACCAACAGTTCTAACGGAAACTCCGAAACCACCACACCCCGTGCCCTTGCTAGTGCTAGGATGGAGGTGTCAGGGTTTAGCTTCTGGCTTAGCGTTTGGGGCCTGTCCCCGCCCGAAAAAAAAAGACTTATTGTCCTGTGCTATGCCGTGGTTGTTGTGGAAGTCTGTTGCGGCTAGTTGGTCCGTGCACAATTGTCGAGAGGCTTATGCCGCGCGCTGCGGACATCGGGCATGTCGAAAAGGACCTTCCACAGTAGCCAACGTCTTGAAGGTCTTTTGTTAGAAGTGTTTGTTGAAGTTGCTTACAGTCCAAACTGACACTTTCCATCCTGGCCAGATCCCTGGCTCCATCGGTTCTGAGAACTCTTTCGGGTTCGGGTTTGGGGTTTAGGGTTCTGCGTATATACTGTAGCTATGTGTCACCAGGGGCTCTGGGTGTGTAGCTGTATCGTAAGACTTCGGTCCCTACATAGCATAAGGATCCTGCCCAAAGTGATTGTGATTCTGGCCTCTACTGGAAATCCGTTTCTGGAAACCTTTAGAATGTGGCACGTGTGTCTTGCAATCTTGCAAAGCCGGACTAACTTGAAATATGACCGCCTCGGAATCCAAAATATAATTATACCAAGGCCCTTGAAACCCTAGGTTGGCTATTCAGTCTCCTATGTTAACACGTTGGAAAATTAGGAGCTCTGATTCTTGCATTTATTTCTGAATGTGTGACGTCTTCCTAGAATATAGTCCTCCTTAAGTAGATAGACTATGGGGTATATGAGGCTCTTAATCAAATATACCCAAAGCCATATTCTATCAACTCAAGGGGGACTATATCCCTACGCGGACTGATCCAGATCGTCTTCAGACCTGTCAGGAGAGGCATAGAGATGGTCATGCCGGGGTCTGGTGAATTTAGAGTCCCCCTTAAGTAGATAGACTATGGCTTCGGGTATATTATATTAAAGAGCCGGCCTCATATACTCCATAGTCTATCTACTTAAGGGGGAGTATAGGTCGTAGAGTTGCTTCAACGTTCCTTTTTTTGAGTGGTCTGCGCTTGGCATTGCAATATTCTTGGCTTCTACCAAAGGGTGCGCGCAGAGTATTCTTGGGCTCCGGGTGGGTCCAGCACTCGTAATCTAGGGACACGGGAGACTGGATGGGATTTTCCAGACTTCTGCAAGTCTAAATTAAATCCAGAAGTTATGACCCTAAAGCCTGAACCGCACTATGTAGTTGACAGATTGAAGCTGGAGGATTCTCAAGCATTGCGCTGTGCCTCATAGGGCTCATAGTCGCATCATGTATCAAACTCATCTGTAACAATACGATTGCTGCTAAAACATCCTGCAGGACCTTTGTATACTATACAACCAGACTTCCCAAGGTGTAAAATACTTAGGGTCATGCAGGATGTTTTGCACCCAGAGCAGTTGGAGAGGCTGCAGCAAGCAAAACAAGCAACATACACAGCTATGAAATAGCCAAATTCATGATGATGATGATTATGACGATGATGATGATGGCGGTTATGATGGTACTGAGATTTTACACGGCAAAAGCAGTTACACAGCAAACGTGTTCACCTTGGGCACTGCCCGACCTTGGCCACCACAGCCGTCGTTCTCGGCCAGTGCTCAAGGGCTGCTCGCTGAAGGCCTTCAACTGGGTCGCTAAAAGAGGAATTTAACTTAAGTTGCTACATTAGGCGTATATGGTAAATAATGGATTTCCCTTGTTATACAGACTTGTCTGAGGGACCCTAAACAACAACCCAATTAAGCAGGTTGAGGAATGTTGTCTTTGGGTGGCGCGCATACTCCTAAACCCCAATATACGCAACACCCATGTAGATTCCTGCCATAGCTCTTGAACATTCTTTGCACGAGATGGGCTTTATTGTCTTCAAGGCCAACACCTAGCAATTTGGCCATGAATTTGCAAAGTGCTAGGCTCCTGGGGGGCCTCTGCAAACTGAAGCCTTATCCCTTAAAGACCCTCTAGTTGCACGGAAGAACCTGCATGCAAAATCTCCGAGCCCTTGCTTCAATCCAAGCCGCAGTAGAGCCTTCGGTTGTCGAATGTGAACCTCCGGCTGAGATTTGCTTCTGATAATGGAAATGCTGTAGCAAGTTACAGGATTAAACTCCGACTTGCGCAAGGCTTTAATTCATGCAGGCTAATATCAACAGCCAAACCTGCCCCATGCCCTAGACTTCAGATGGTGCAGTCTGCCTCTATCAGCAAAATCCAACGAAACCTAAGAAAAACCAGATAGGAGCCACGAACCCGAATGCAGACACGTGTCACGTACATGCAATGATAATAACACCCCACGAGCGAAACCACTTAGGAGACTTAGGCCCGGGGTCATCCCTTTCTCCTCTTCCTCCTCCTCTCTCTTTTCTCCTCTCTCTTTCTCCTCCTCTCTTCT